ATGACTTGGAAGAAGCTGGATTCTGCTGGAGTCACGTTAATTTCATCAAACATTTCATTATAATAATTAACTTCACCTTGCAATCATGCTACTGATGGTCTGAATTAATTATAACTACTGCTGTGTTTCCTTTTCATTTTTATTTGTTGTGCACCGAAAAAGATCAGATTTACTAATCCATCACAACATTTACATTCATAAATCATTTATGTTCATCGCTTATATAAAATTTCCACACACCATCGCTCCTTATTTCTCACCCCGAACGGGCACCTCTCCCAATCACTAGTCAGTCTCGTTTAACAAAGCAGTTCACAATATAACTGGGGTTTGGGCAGTGCTCTCCCAGATGACTGAAAATACGACATTTCTTGATTTTTGTCAAAATTATTCTAGGCACAGGGCACTAAAGAAAGAAGAAAAAAAGGAAAGTAAAATAAAAGCAACCAGGGGAATCCTTTTGCAGTCTGGGCTCGACACACGGATCCGCTCTCTGACTGCTGCTGCGGGTGTGAACTCGGTGTAGCAGAACGCCGGCTCTGGCTACAGCGTTCGGCAGCACATCCCCAGGCAGTCTGGCACAGTCACTGACAGAGCCGTAACGCAGAACCGCAGCACACAGTCCCACTCTGAGGCTGACCGCGCTCCGAGCGGAGCACAACGCACAGCTAGATGGCTTTTCTCTGAGAAAAAGCGTTCCTGAGGCAGCCGCAGCTCAGAAACAACGTGCTAACGGTGCGTTTCCAGTCTCACGGCAAGAGATGGAGATGAAACAGGTCAAGTGAGAAAAGTTCGTCCGAGTGCTGCCTCGCTACCCGGGTGCCTCTCAGCACAGCCCTGGCTGCCTGCTGTGCGAGTTGCGTCTCTCACTGTGGCAACACGCTTGTACTTTCGGGAAAAAAGAGCACCGGAGAACAGCGTGAGCGGCTGCGGCGTTCACCTCCAGACCAAAGCCACCCCCCGGCTGCATCGGCGCAGGAGAGGGGACGGACAGCGGCAGTTCGAAACGGCCACCACGCCCCTCCTCTCCGCAAACCGTTCCACCAGACGAGCACGGCAACGGAACGCGAGGCAAAGGCTTCTACCTGCTGTTCGCCTCCGACAAGAGTCAGGGCTGCGGCTGCCGGCTCACGGAGCAGCGAACCCGTGAAAGTTTGCCCTCGTGCGCTGCTGGCCAGAATGGGGCTGCACGTTTTGCTTTTGTTCCGACGTTTTCCTCCTTCGGAGTCGCCTTCCCTTTGTTTCAGCTAAGCCACAGTGCTTTTTGTTTCCTCTTTTTGAGGCATTGTGTTACACACCTAGGAATCCTGAACAGAGCCACCGAGTATGGACGTAAAGTACAAGTAAAATATCTCGATCCCACACACACAGATAGGCTGATTAAAGAGGCCTGATTTTTTCCATCACTGTAGCTCCTGTTTATCCTTCTTTTTTCCCATGTACAGAACACAAACAAAAGCAGCAGCTAGCATCCTGAAAGCAAGCTCATGGCTATTATATTCATTACATATACCCTGTTTAATATTACAGTCTCCTGAGTAAGAACAGCTAAACTGCTGAAGGATTTGCCCCATGAAGGTAGCAGCAGCAACATGAAAAAATAAAACCAAAGTCATGTATCATTTTCCAGACGCATTTAGCAAATCGTCTCATTTTTCTACCACCCTTTTCGGTCCTCCTTTGGAAACACAATTATCTCAGTCAAAGACCTTCTACTCTTTTCAAATACTTAGCAAGTAAGAATAAATATAAAGAAAACTGGCTAACGTTATTTTACATTTGAAAATTGGTTTCACAATTGAAAAATAGCTAATGAAATGTCTAAACTAATCCCTTTCCAAACAGCAGCATTTTAACCTGTATTAACCTGTAAAGCAGAACCCCCCCCACACACATTCAGAGGTCCAGATTCTGCTGACAACTTCACTAAAAATCCAGGAGAATTCTCTGTACATTCCTGGGAACGTTCCCAAGCTACAGGAGTGTCCAGAAGAACAGAATGTGATCGGGGGGGCAAAGGACCATTGCCCCATGTAAACATGTTTGTTTTTTTCCTGAAAAGCAACTGGTTTTGATTAAAGGCTTGTCCTGGCTCTTATCATCACAACGCTGCTTAGCTATTTTGTGGGTAATCTTTTATTGCAAAAGCTTTTCTTTTCTGCATGTACTTACAAACAAACCCCAAATCTTTGCATGCCTACGGAACAGGAACAGTAAAGCCTCTCTCCCTGTTTTTTGGGTCCTTGTTGTGGAAAAAAGTGTCCACTGCTAGCAACATGAAATGAAAAAGCTTCAAAACCAGCCGTGTTAGGAGACAGCACTAGGTAGAAATCCGCAGTGCTTGGTCACTCTGAGCATTTATAACCTGTCTAAGTGTTCAGGAGTCACTCGTCAGGGCCCGAGAGCTCGCCCTTCGGCGCTGAGCTCGCCCCGCTGCGACCTCCCTCTCCTCTCCCACCCGCCGCACGCTCACAGCACCCAGCAGAATTCTCCCCTCCAGCGAACGGTGCGTGGGCTTTTGCGCACAAGAAAGAGAGTTTGAGGTTGACACAAATCTAGTTTTCCAAGTATCTCCCACAGGGAAAAAGAGGGGGCTCGTTCCTCCAGCGTCCGACGGCCCCGGCCAGAAGCACACCCTGCCCCGCGGCGCAGCAGCCGCGCTGCTCACACGCGGCAAGGCCACCCCGAACACCCACGCCCCGCAGCCCCTTTTCGCTAGCACGGAACTCGCACTGACACCAGCTAAACCAAAAGTCATGGAGAGGAAAAACGTTTGGCACCCTCCAGCTAGGTCCAACTGCAGCATCTTTGAGAACGGACGCCGCTTTTGCTTTGGTATTTCGTAGTCCACTGGTTCTTAGGGCCAGGATGAAGAACTTGATTTTGCAATCTAGTAATTTTATTTTCAGTGCCTAAGAGCTCAAATGCAGGCGGTTTCTATCCCAAAGGCATCTTGGCTATTTGAAAATTATGAATTCATTGAGTCTGATGAAAGCACGCATCAGCTTGCAAACACACATGCTTATTTTCTATTTCTGTTTCTATTTGCATCTTACTCTCAGTTTCTGCGATAACCAAGTACACTCACAGCCATCTCCACGCTCTGAAGCTTCGCAATCCAAAGGAATCACTATCTGTTTCAATACAAGAAGTGGCCACCAAGCCACACCAGAATCTTTCCAGGAGGGAAAGCAGTGAGACCCGGTTTTGTGTAGCAGCGGTGCGAGAGAAAGCTTGGGATGAATAGGAAATTCCAGAACAAACTTAGTTAAATTGTCTCCTCTATAAATAACAATACACAAATCCACAAAGATTTTAACGTGCTGCTGGTTGCCCTACATGCTGCCGCCATTTGAATGTGTCCATAGGCTGTCATAATCAATAGCTCAGGAAATATCCTTACTCCGACTTTACTCCTCCCTGCCAAAGCACCCAGTGCCTCTAGTTATCAAACACCATCATCTGCTGCTTTTTTACACTGGATGTTTTCATTCCCACCAGCTGGCCTGACCTAAGACTCTTCAGTCTTTCGGGAAAGAAGGCTGAGGGGGAGAAAACATTTTGCTTTGCTCCTGTTTCATTATATTCTGCACCTTTTTATTTTCTTCCTCCTGAAGAAGCATTTGCTTGCTACCCACCCCCTTTTATGTGGCTTTTAGTAAATATGTTTATTAAGAAGTTGTAAAAGAGTGGTCATTACAGAGACAAAAAATGAAGAACAGAAGATGAGTGTGCACGATAAACAGCTGTTCTTTCCAGTCCGGTTGCTGCACGCACTAAAAATACGCACAACCAAAAATCTCCAGATGAAGGACAAGGACAGAAGGAGATGCAGCGGACTAGGCTTAGAATAAAATGTGGTGTAGCCTTCAGGTTTCTGCTCAGTTTTGTATATATTCGTAGTCCTTAATCTAAGCATTTATAAGAACCTGGGGAAAGCCAGCAGTGTACAAGTTAGCATTTAAAAAGAAGAAATATGTATTCATGGAAAAACACCTGTATGAACTCCATTTCTTTCCCCACATTTTTGAGAAACCCAAATTCAAAATATTATTTTTTTCCCTTCCTTTTGGTATTTAGTGTATCAGCAGTGAAGGCTCCTGCAGACCAGGACTGTCTGCGCGGAACGAAGGACGGGGAAAGACCTCGGGAAGAGGTGAGGGAAACGTAACGGCCCCGAAGACATTTATCCCGTCACGCTGTGAAACTGAGACGCGGGAGCAGCCCTGTGCGTGCACAGAAAGCACCGAGCAGCCGGCGGTGCAAGGCAAGGAGTCGACGCGAAGTGCTGGCCCCGCGGTGCACCCGTGGGCAGTGGTGAGCGGGCACCGAGGCAGTCAGCGGCTCCTCTGAACTGAGCAGCCTGAAATGTAGAGCTCTGTGCCTCAGTCTCCTCTAGATTGCTTAAATCACGAACATTTGTGGTATTTTTGTATTTTTTTTTCCTGCACCCAAAGTTCAGTTATTTAGAAGCATTTTAAAAGAGGAACTACTCTGACAAAGTGGGCTGACATTTTGGTGCACCCTGAGCTAGTCTCACTTTACATGAGCTGGCTGGCTTCGGACTGATGAGCTTCCCTGTCAGCTACAGATTTTTAAATGTTTTTGTTAGCAGTGTATTTTTCCATCCTCGGCTCATTTTTTGTGTGCATCCAAATACGCCTCCTGTTTGCTGACGGGTAACAGCATTAAGACTGCATTTCTCATTTAACTTAGTCCGAAACTAACTCCTACTTAAATTGTACTCGATTTGAGGTTTGTGAAACTCCCAGCTTGGCTTGCTCATCTTGAATCCCTTTTTTGGGTTTAAGCTTCAAAGAACTCCACAAACGTTAATGAATGTTATCAAAATCCTACGAATTCCATGGAATATCCCCCACCCCCACCCCGAGACTGCTCTACCAGCATTTCTGCAATACGCCTCTTAGGTTTTTACCTTCTTCCACCTCAGCAGACTCCCAAACCACCTCCCCCTCTCACTCCTCTCTTAAATACAGACGGCAACGGAGTTTACGGCTTGGAATCGCGCTCCCTGCCCACCACTGGCAACACAAACTTTCTCCAGTTTGGCTGGCAATGAAATCCCCACACCGGCTGCCAGTCGCCTCGTGTTCCGTTCAGATAACCTGTGTTTCACACCACACGTTTCACGCCATCTTCCCCACCACGTAAGGAGTCAAGGACTGGGAGATCTCACCAGTCCTGGGGTTTTAGATCATGTCAGGGACGCAGCAGCAGGGCTGCTGAACGGATGAGTCCCTCAGCCAGTTCCACTCAGTGCAGCATCCTCTGGCCAACCCACCCCAGCATCTCTTGAAGTGGTGAGGTGAGCACAGCAACCTCGTAATGGCTGAAGTCATTACCTGGTCGTTAACGTGACAGACAGCTAGATTCTGTTCATCGCAGGAACAGGCCACGCGGATGTACTTCAGCCAGTTCCCAGCTCCGCTCTGGCTCGCATCGACACAGAACTTCTCATTTCCCAGGTCATCAGCAAGCTGTAGAACAACAGGAGAAGAAGAAACACATGGGTCACCTGATATCGAAAGATCGCTACAGAAAGAAGAAAGAAAGAAGAAGAATTGCAAGGCAGGATTCCAAACAAGAAACGGAAAGGAGAAAGCTGGATGATATAGATCATTAATAAAGAGACATATGACAAGACTAAAATCAGCTCTCTGTCGTACTGCGAAGCTCCTGGTTAGCAGCACCTCCAAGGACGTGCACCAGAGTCGTCCGTGAGTACCGGGCTCAGGATTACAATTGTCATGGAGACAAACACACAGTTCTGGCATCCACAGCAGCTTAAGTAATCAAAGCAGATAACTTCTCCAAACTGCACTGATTTTAATGACAAGGCCCTTGAAGCGCTCCATCTCCACATTATCTACTTTATCCTTTCATGCAGGATCCTTTTTTGTTAGAAATAAAACACAACGTTCCTTTATTCAGTAAACTTTCAGAACAGGTCATTTTCCACAGTGCTGTGAAATTATATTTTAAGAAATGCTGTAACAAGTATCCCTTTCATTTCTATAGCTACAACACTAGGAATTCACCGACGCTAGAGGATCCGTGTGGCTGAAGGTGAGGTAAGATCCAGCTAGTGTGCAAAAGAGGAATCCTTCCAAACAAAAACTCTCAAATACTTAAAAGTCCAGGTGTGGGGAAAAGACAGGTTAATTAAAGGGTTGTGAGCTAACGAAAACCGCTGTTTTACCGGGAAGAGACTTTTTCCTTTTTTAAGATAGCAAAGTCAGTTTGGTGATACAGAAACAGAAAAGATGCTCAGCGTTCCACACCAACACCTGCAATGCTCTGTTCTGCAACTCACTCAAAAAGGCCCATTTCAAAAGTTACACGGGACCCCACCAGAGCGAGGAAAAGCCGGCTGAGTCCGGCGTGTGGCACGACCGTACCCCGCTCAGAAGTGGGCCTCCTTGGTACAGAAACTCCTTTTTTCCCCAGACTTCGATTTCCCTCTCCCCCTCCCAGACCCTGTGTCATTGCAAATTACTTCAGCCATCAAAAGCTCTTAACATGCTTTTGCTAGCAATTAATTCTCTCAAACTCTCATGGGATACGATAATACTTTCCCATCTATTTCAAGACAGAGAAGAAAGAAAAGGTGGGACCAAAGGAGAGGAAAACGAAAACACGGCGATGACAGCAACACCTCGGGAGGAAGCCCGGGCAGCGGCACCCCGGAGCGACGCTGCCAGCTGGGACTCTCGCTCCGCAGCCCGCGCGGCATCGGGGCCACCCTATAGCTACAACACTAGGAATTCACCGACGCTAGAGGATCCGTGTGGCTGAAGGTGAGGTAAGATCCAGCTAGTGTGCAAAAGAGGAATCCTTCCAAACAAAAACTCTCAAATACTTAAAAGTCCAGGTGTGGGGAAAAGACAGGTTAATTAAAGGGTTGTGAGCTAACGAAAACCGCTGTTTTACCGGGAAGAGACTTTTTCCTTTTTTAAGATAGCAAAGTCAGTTTGGTGATACAGAAACAGAAAAGATGCTCAGCGTTCCACACCAACACCTGCAATGCTCTGTTCTGCAACTCACTCAAAAAGGCCCATTTCAAAAGTTACACGGGACCCCACCAGAGCGAGGAAAAGCCGGCTGAGTCCGGCGTGTGGCACGACCGTACCCCGCTCAGAAGTGGGCCTCCTTGGTACAGAAACTCCTTTTTTCCCCAGACTTCGATTTCCCTCTCCCCCTCCCAGACCCTGTGTCATTGCAAATTACTTCAGCCATCAAAAGCTCTTAACATGCTTTTGCTAGCAATTAATTCTCTCAAACTCTCATGGGATACGATAATACTTTCCCATCTATTTCAAGACAGAGAAGAAAGAAAAGGTGGGACCAAAGGAGAGGAAAACGAAAACACGGCGATGACAGCAACACCTCGGGAGGAAGCCCGGGCAGCGGCACCCCGGAGCGACGCTGCCAGCTGGGACTCTCGCTCCGCAGCCCGCGCGGCATCAGGGCCACCGGCCCGTTCTTCTCTCAAAACCGAGACGAATCGTCAGTGTTCAGCTGTTGATCTGAAGCCACCGAACAGTCTGGGTATGCAGCATATCGTTTTTACTGGTTTGAATGAGCAGCAGCCCACTAACCTCCCAGTACCACGGATTTACACAGCAGCCATCAGTGAAGCCTGGGAACACAACACGGCAAAAGTCCAGGCCTACACAAATCGTCTATTTTCTTTCATAGCTTTGCCTTCCACAGACCCTCTCTTCCATAATCTAGAATTATGTGGTTGAAGACACCCAGATAGCTCCGGGAAAACCCAGCACTCAGCTCAAGCTCACCAGCTGTTTTGCAGGGCCCTGCGCAAGGCTCGACAGCTCTGCCTCAGCACGAGTCCCGTCTTAGCTCGAAATCACCTGAAACTCTGTGGTTTTATCTGAGTGGAGCTTTAAAACCCAGACAGGGGGTGTGAAATCTCACAGATCAAAATGAGAAGAAAAGAGGTTGCATGAAACCCTGAGAACTTCAGCCCCTGTTTTTCACACACACTGACTCTACTCCGTAAATAGAACCAGGCATCACGGACTACGGCCCAGCAGCGTCACTGAACGGTGTTCTGCATGTTACTGTCCCTTAGGGAAAGGTTTGCTCTGTTGTTATCCACGAGGAACCTTTGCCATCGGAACAGCTGGAAAACAAAATCAATGTTATGGAGGTAGCAGAGAGCGGACAGAGCATCACCAGCAATCTCCTTGTTAAGTGGCAGTAAGTTGTCACTCGCCAGCTGAACCACAGTGACGCAGTTATGCGAGTTCTCCTATCCCATTACAGATACCAGTAAAAGGCGTTATTTTTAACTAGGGAATTTCCTAGGATTTTTGCTAACACGTTTTTCCTTCGCAACGGCAGTGGGCTGGAAGCGTGCGGGCAGTCCCGTGAGGGGAGGCTGCAGTTCAGGCTGACACCGTCTGCTCGCGCTTGAGCAGACGGGCAGAGCCGCAGACGGGCAGAGCCGCAGACGGCAGTCGCGGCGCGCGGCAGAATATCTACGACTGGAGCTGCCCCGCTCTGGGAGCAACCGCAAACTGCCCAA